AATAATATAATGTTATTTTTCTGGAGTTTTTAATCTGTTTTGTATCTTTTTGTTTTAATTATGCATGTACAAGAATTGCTCCTTTATTCTGTAACTTTGCTTTTCTATATTTAAAATGTTAATTCTTTGATTGATGTTAAGTTTTGGGCGAACTTTTCATTGTTAACTAACCCTTTATTTTCAAGAGTCCCTCCAACAGTTTTCCTGGACCCATTTGGAATCCCTGCCTAAATTTCATCTCATAAAATAACAACTTGTTCAAAAATAAATACACATATTTTTTTTTTTGTACGGGCTTTGCGATTATTAACTGCCCGGTTTAGGGAAAAAATTGTTTTACTGTCGCCTCGACCCTTGAAAGTGGTCAGGTGTAGATGGCGACTCACTCAATCATTTCTCGACTCTTTTAAATTTTATATTTGTTTTAGGTTGGAATGCCTTGCCTTTTCTTGTTTCGTATACCAGGTATGCGAACGATGTGGCTGGGTACGAGGGCAAATTATAAAGATATATACTTAATACTGTCTGCACGTCAGCATTTATTTAAAGTTCTCGGTGAATTAATTATTGTGACCTACGCTACGGTGGTTGGAACTGGCCTCCGACTGGTGTATTTACCGTCCTATCTAGACCATGCATTGGAAGTGGACACGAAGAGGTAAACAAATGCGTCACACGAGCCGGCTGCATCATGGTGTCATATGTCCCGATTTTGGAGGTTGGCTTTAGAACTCCTGGCGAAAAAAACTAACGGACGCAAGGGTCTCTATCGGATACAGAGCATACTAATACGACATCCGGCCGATACAGACCAGACGTATATGCGACGTCCGGCCGATACTCGGGCGACAGTCCGATTCGTACACTGCTCGCATGATAACGCGCCGATACCAGGCCCGGGCTGAAATTACGGTACGGTAATACCTGCCGGATATCGGGCTGAGGTGCAAAACTGTGCATCCTGCCAATATTGGGGCACCGAGTTTTGGCCGACACTGGCACGACACTGGCCGAGCATAGAGGTTTTGCTTGGGTATTTCGGCGGCGTTCCATTTCGTCTGTATTGGTTCCCATAAACGTCTGTCTGCAGAGCCACCTGCAGCAGAACAGGCGTCTGCCACATTCACCTGTGCTGCTGTACTACCGCCATGATTGCGACAGGCAACCGCGAGACAGTTTCTTGATATCATCAGACAGAAAACGGTGGGCTACTCTTTAGGACCTGCTAAAAACACCAGTCAAAGACGCGCTTCGGGCACCATAGCTACCCATAGTGCCAACCAAACGACGGTGTACGAAAGACAACCCAATTTCAAGATGGCGTCCGTGCATGTAAAATAAGCAAGCAACACCATGACTGCACTCCGTTCACCGTTAAGCTAGGCCGGTTCACACATAGAGGGGAACGCTCAGTTAGCGCTTCATAAGCGCAGGAAGCAGCACTCATGTGGCACCGACTTGCGCGTGACGTAGCGCTCGGTTAGCGCTTCAGAAGCGCTCCAGTAGGCGCTCAATTAGCGCTTCAGAAGCGCTTCAGTAGGCGCTCGGTTAGCGCTTCAGCAGCGCACTTGTACCGTGCTTGCTGCTGCGGAACCGTGCGTGCATGGTGATTCCGTTGCTGTTTTTCTTGAAAGAAGAGGAAGTAAAAGTGACGCTCTCCAAGCAAAGGGTCGGGCAGACGATCCAGAGTCATGGACTTCGAGCGACTGATTGATTGGCTATACGACCTCATAGCCTTCTATTTGATATGCGTGACCGTGGTTTCAAAGGCACGCAGTTAAAAAAATGAAAGCCGTTTACAAGTCCCTGTAACGCCGAATTAGAGCGCAGCTTTTCAGGAGGAGAATGGAAGGGTACTGAGGGAAAGGTATACCCCTCCTCTCTCCTCCTCACCTCGTCATCCTGCCTACTACTCCGCCAAGGGGTCCACGTGGTCTCACGGGGGCCACGTGACCCCCCTGAGGTCACGTGACCTCAGGGGGATCACGTGACCTCGGGGGGTGGGTGGGGGGGGGGTTTCGCGTGACCTCAGGGGGGGTCACGTGACATCGGGGAACGGGTCACGTGACCTCGCGGTTACGCCGACGCCGACGCCAACGACGACGGCGTCGGCGACGCCGCTCAAGCCGTAAACGGGCGCCTAAGAGCTGCGCTTCTGTTCTTACTTCTTCTCGCCTTCTGTTTTCGCCTGACCCTCTGGTGCTCCGGTCCGTCTTGCGCCTTCCCCGGGGAATTCCGATGACCCCCCCCCCCCCCTCCCCCCGCTCTCCGCCGCGCCCCCGACGGCACGAAGCGACGCGAGGTGTCATCTACGAGAGAGACGACACGGACCAGACCACGCCGTGGACCAGACTCCCGACCGCCCGCTGTGTTCGCCCCCGCAACGGTCTCCCTGTGTTTCTTACACCTCCCCTCATCCCCCTCCCCCTTTCCCCATCGCCTCCCCAAGTCGAGCTCTGAGCGGCGAGACGCCCCAGTAAATCTGTAGTTGCAAGTCGAAAGCTGTGTCGCCTGTTTCGTCCTCTTGTGTGTTTCTTTCGTTTTAATTCAATGTCGATTACCAACACGCTCAAGTCTATAACTAAAGGCTCTTCTGGGCGTTAAGTTGTCCACACACATATGCACTAATATCGTATGTAAGGGCATTTGTCGCGTTTCTATTTCAGCGTCCCACATGTCCGTTATGGTACTGTTGATGCACATCCAACCACAAGAACCGGAACCGCAATGCACGCGCTAATCCGCAGCAATAGCCGCTGAACAAAAAGCGCTAATAAGGGGCTACTCAAACGCTAACAAGACAGACACGCTGATTGCGCGCTATATTAGAACGAAGTCACGCGCTAGGAAGCGCCACATGAGCGCTCTTTAGATCGTTCACGTAGCGCTAGCTTAGCGCTCCGCTGTATGTGAGAACAGGCCTTTAGGCTGAGAATAGAAGCTCCGGCTTCAGCGCGAGCTCGCTGGCTTTCGTAGTACTTTGGTTGGGGGTGCCTGCGCGTCCATACTTATGTTAGCAAGGGAAGAAAGCTCGCGCTAAAGGCGGAGCTTCTAGTTTCAGCTTGAGTGTGAACGGAGTATAGCTGTGTGTGAGTACAGGTTGTATTTTTGAAAAAGTGCGGGTTTCTATACTCTGTCTACCCTTAAGCTTAGAGTGCAGCCAATGCTACAAGCACGAGAGCTTGGGATCTCTGTTTTCAAGCGTTCTTACGCAGAACGAGCACTCGCGCCCAAAATACACGTATCAACGCCAGGAGCGTGGGCTAGTTCCCTCTTGCAGCTTCGGCTGCAGTCTCAGGTTAAGGGTGAACAGAGTATTAGCTCGTCTAGACACTAGGCTCGTTATTCGGCTGATATCCTACGTAGATCAAAGGGCTTAGACAACCACGTACATTTAGCGACAGAAGAACAGACACGTTTTAGTGTGTACACATAGATTTAACTTGGATTGAAGACTCGGCGCGCCTAATCGTAATATCAGGTGCGTGAGCAATGGTCGAAGCTGTGGTCAGATGCAGCCATAAAAAAAACTAAGAGCAGAGCACGAAGAGGAAGCAACAGCATCTTAGGCTGCAAGATTGCGCAAGCACGTGTCGCAAATGGCGAACAGCTCTGCGCTCTACATGCCCCGCCCCCCCCCCCCCCCCCCCCCCCCCCTCCCCAAGTTTGTAGATAATGCAAATACTTTGGACTCACGGATGTAAACAAACGGCCTCTGGTGGTTTAATAGGGAGTATTTTCTGGCGGACGTAGCTGTGTGGTCGACTGCTAAGCGCGTGCTCACAGCGGGCTTTACAGCACTTTTGCAATGTGCATTCCGCATCATCAAGACTACCGGTCTTAGCAGCCTATTAAAGGAAGCTCGTTCTGAGCACCCGCTCTATACATCGCCCTCAAAAATGGCGTCTAGTTAATGCCCTTTATACTTTGGTCAAGGATTCCGGAATGACTAACAGTAAGCCAGCTCTTAGAGGAAAATAGTGCAGAAACCTCAAATCTTGTAAAACGAAAAATACTGTGCATCTCAATTATTTTTTGTTTCTGTTTAGGTCAAAATAATACAATCTTCCAACGTTGCATTTTTTCTTCATTAATAATGCGATGAGGACAGGAACGATGAGGTATCAATGTCTGTTAGGACATAAGTTTTAGGAGCTCTAGTCTTATTCTATGCTTTTCTGTCGTCTATGATCTTTCAATTTTTCCATTGATCGGGTCTTTGCGTATTCTAAATTGAACGTACGCGCACGCGTTTATGACCTTGCATGTCACAGTCATGTAAGTTTTTAAAGGCTTTTTTGTTTTTCAACCGGCGATGAGCTCGGTTAAAAGGGCCACAAAAATTAAAAAAATAAATGTTTTTAATGCACACAAAATTTATAATTATACTGTATGTACTCGCACGTAATAACTGCGCAGATATTGCCCGTTTAAATGACCTAGCACAAGCTCTTCAGTACCTTTCTCCAAGAAGGGTCTCTGCAATCTTGCCATGAGCGGCCAACAAAACATGATTTAGTAAGTACTCAGAGAAAATCGCCGCCTGGGTTCTCAGTCATTGCCTTACGCGTTAACAAGATTGTTAATCGCCACAAAGCCCTAATGTGTATGAAAAAACTGAATTCCGGGAAGCCCGAACAGTCGTGGTTCCTGGCAGAGTCAGGGAAGAGCGTGTGTGACGACTGACGGTCTTGAGCGTCTGTTGAAATGACTGAGAATCTGAAAGGGGTATACACAAGCTTGAGCCACGCCATGAAACGCGTAAATGTGTGCTGTAGGTACTTGACATATCAATAGTATATATGTACATTCTATCCATATAAAAAATGTTTCCACTCGTCTCAGTTCGTTTGTAAAAAACAAACAAACAAAACGTTAAAAAAACAAAAAAAAACACTGTAAATTGTTTTGTTCGCCCTCGGATGACACAAGTGGAGTTAACACACATGAGTAGAAAAAAAAAACAACACTATCGCACTTAAAATGTTCGAGTCACTTACCATTCGTTCAGAACATGGTGCTCCCGGCCAAATATGTTTCACTGTGTAGTGAGTATTGGTTCCGTTCCTGGTCACGCAGCAGACAGTGCACCTGCGTGGCCTTAGTCCGAACTGAGAAAAAAAAAAGCACGAATAAGTACTACTACTCGTTAAGCATATAAAGTAATTAATATCTAGAACATGAACTGTATCGCATAAATACTATCAACTGTGGCAAAATAACATATGTCCGAGTATACTTGGAAAACCCATCGCAGGAGTTAGAAAAGGACCCAAAACAGTTAGCACGAAAGACGAAAAAACAAGTGTAAGGCTGAACTGAAACAAGCGCTACTTTCATCACGCCTTTTAATAAAAAGATGAAGAAAGGAAAGTATGAGGTTAAAAATTAAAACTTAAGGGGAAGCACGACCGCAAATGAGAAACAGCGGGTGATGCAATTGTATTTGAATATTTTTACAAAAAAGGTTATTCGAGATGATAATAAAAAATAATAGAAAACAATAAAGAGACAAATAATGATGTGTGTATGTTTATACAGCCGGACGTTAGTCAGCCGCAACGGGCGTGTAGAGCCTCAACTATAGATGAGAAATTTAGCCAGTGCATGTACAGCCCGGGGTTTTAGCGTACATCATGAAGTAGTGGTGCATCGATCGCAACAGGCGAGTGGCGGGATTTCGCCGTGCATGAGAAAGACTGTGAAGGCGCCGTGTCGTTTAGCAACACAGGAATCTGGAGAGGGTGTATCCTGACAAGAAAACAGGTCAAATATTTTAACCTCAGACCATCGCATCAAAAGGGAATGCTTCCTCAGTGCTTCATCAGTGACCTTGTCATCAAAGGAACTACAGTACCTGCAATATTTTTCCTAAACTTATTTTCCATTTTTACGTCATCCTTTTTAAATATATCAGGCTTTCTAATGTTTGTTTATCAATAAAAGATTTTATCGCGAAGGGGGGGAGTGGGTGCTTGTGTAGGTGTGTGTGTGTGTAGGGGGGGGGGGTGCAGGCGAAGTAAAGCCAAAAAGGAAGCGAAGTTATTCCCTGACCAAATATAAAGATACCGGACAATGCCAATTGGAAGTGCTCCTTGTTCGTGTCTAACCCCATTTAAGGTCAGTACTGCCGTGTGGTCCTTGGGGCATGTGTGAGGGAGGGGTTCCATGGTGTCGTGCCGGGGGCCGCATAACACTTCCTAGCAAGCCGCGGGTCGGCGACCCCCGGTGATAAACTAAATGATTAGAAAATAACCCTGTGAATAAAACGTGGAAACTGGAGATTCCTTATTCTCCGTTTAATAATTTTATTTTTCGATTGATACCTTTTCAAGGTCTAATACTTTCAAGATGTCCCAGGCAGCATACACAAAAAAGTCTAAGGTCTAAGTTTACAAATTCAAAGGGATTAACGTTAAGCTAGAGGGTTTTGTTTCATGGTGCCAGAATCAATGTATCTACCTTGATTCTAAAAGCCAGAAAAATGGCCGAAGTTTGGCTTTTCTCTTGCTTGCCACGGGAGTGTCATAGTTATATACCTAAACCAAAGACGCCAGTTGACACTGGTGACACCAGAACTACTAGAAAAGTCTAACTCGCGTTTACATTGCATTTCACAAACTCTCTATGCCAGGCGATTTTTCGGGGTATATATTCTGAAATAATTTCGGTCTCTTTATTTATTCGCACATGGCGACCCCTGTTAGCAGTAACTGCCTCTTGAAGTGCTATGCGGGAGAGTAGACGGATTGGTACTATACTAGGCTGTTAAACAGAGGTGCTTAACATTCATACAGGTTAACAGTCGCAAATATGGTGCTGCAGAAAAAAAAAAAGCAATGCCGGGTGCAGCTTTTCAAGCGCACCCTGCATTGAACAATACAATTGTTTCGTATTACTGCGATTACGTTTTCTTCGTTCGACGTCTTTTTTTTTTAGCGTTACAAGATGTTTACGAGGAAAATTACGTTTCGCATGCGCTCGAAATTTTTAAACTCAGTAGTTTTTTTTTGTTTTTTTTTGGTGAGAAATACATTTTTGATACGACTTTCTATTTTAACTCCCTATTCAATTTGTCGTTCTCCTCTGTGTTTTTTTTTTTTTTTTTTAGTAAGGATATGCATACTTTAATGTATTTTTCATATATCGGGAGTGAGAAATGGCTTGTCCAATTACAGACCTATTCCAGTCTTTTATGTTCTTTTTTCTAAAGAATATGTGTTTAAAAATTATTTCGATGATCCGAGTATCCTTTTAATCAGAAAATAACATTGATAGGCTTGTTGTTGATTCAAATAACTATGCCTTAAAAAAGGTGTGTCGCAGACTGTTTGATAATATTTGAGAAGAAATGAAAATAAAACTAAAGTGCATATATTCATATAAAAAAACATTGTGCAATGCCACTGCTAGATTAATATTAAACGCATGTGAAATTGAATCGGTAACTAGTCTGAAAATATTAGACGTAGTATTCCACGAGTACATGTTATAAGACGCTCATATTCAAAGCCTTTCTCTGATACTCGAAAAACATAAATAATATTTTCATCAATGTATGTCATTACCACCCAATGTGAAACTCTTAATTTAGAATGCCCCTATTCGATTCTCGCTTATATTGTTGTCACAGGCTCGGGGAACTACTGCTTGTAAAACATACGTAAATTGTCTTTGTTGCAGAAAAAAGCATCTGTGTCGTAGACGGCGCTTCGTATTATTCGCACACTGGACCACTCTTCCGCAAGCATAAAATCACGAAAAATATGTATTACAATTATAAATCTGCTACAATATATGCGAATCTCTTAAATTTAGAAATCATTCGTTATAACGAACACCTAATTGGAAGAAAAAATATTGTTTACACAGTGTGCAGCGTCAAGTCCCGGAGAGTGCCCCGTAGTTTATAGAATAAACTACGGGCTACAGACGCTTCTGTACAGACAAACCAGCTAGGCTATTGAACTTTTTAAACGATAAAAGTGTTCAGATGAAGCTCACAAACATAATTTGTTATACAATCTTTATCTCTACAACTATGTATTATATCTCGAATATAATATGTTAATTCCTATTTAAATATTGTGTTTCTTTTTCTGCTCGCCAAGTTTACAAATGTAGGTGCAGGGGCTTCGTCAAGGCTGTATAAATGCAGCGCTTTCTCCTATCCCTTATCCCTATTTTGTACCTTGGGTGTAAAGTAAATTTAGTTAATTTGAATAAAAATACGGGTGCTCTTTACCGTCCCCATTACTGGTTGAGGGATTTCCGGTGGTTTCCTCTGGCAGAACTGGGAGAGAATCGTCGACCAGGGTTTATTCTTGTCGTTTGGAACGAATGTATGCCTTGTGACTAACGGGCACTCCGGATGCTGGTGAACTCTGGTCGATGGATCTGAGGGGGGAAACGTTCCAACCTTTATACGGTGCCCACGTTTATCTCCCCCCCCCCCCCCCAATACACAAACACACACAGAGCCTAAGTTGATTGTGAGCATGCCAGTTAGAATCAGACACTACGAGATGACAGAACGGCTACGTCATTACTGAGAAACCCAGAAACTCGGGGAAAAATGAAAGACAGAAGAACCACAACATTATTTTCATGTTCTCCTCTTTCTTACAGCAGCAAAGCGGTTAATTGGACCAACTGGTTTATACCGGGTGATTCAAGGAGACGGCAGGCTCTTTAAATCGACCGGAAAGTTCGGTTTCCTAACCTATCGCGCTACGACTTTGTGCAGCGTTGCCCACAGATGGTGCATTTTTTTTTTTTTTTTGTAAAATTTGCGAAGAGCGAACTTACCTGAGGAAAAAGTAAACAAAGAAAAAGGCTTAGCTCCTATGGAAACGCAGCGACGCCACTGGTCTTCACACAACCCGGCGCCCTTTTGCATGGGACACAAGAGATGGCGCAACAAACGCCGCCAACGAACGAGCATATACGGCGCCGACAGCCAGCGTCTTTAGCAGACAATCTTTTCGACTCAGAAGCGGAGCGCGTTCCGCGGGCGGCGACAGTCGCAGAAACAAAAACAGGCGCGGTAAAAACAAGGAACTGCAGTTCCTTGTCTGCTAGATACGTCGGCTCTCGGCGTCGTCTGCGCGTTCGTTGGCGGCAGTTGGCGTTAGTTGGCGTCGCGACCGCTTGCGCCATCTCTTGTCTCCCGTGCGAAACGGCGCCGTGTTGTTTGCTGACCGTTGGCGTCGCTGCGTTTCCATAGGAGCTAATCCTTTTTCTTTCTTTACTTTTTCCTCAGGTAAGCTCGTTCTTTGCAAATTTTACAAAAAAAAAAAAAAAAATGCACCATCTGTGGGCAACGTTGCACAAAGTCGTAGCGTGATAGGTTAAAAAACCGAATTTTCCGGTCGATTTAAAGAACCTTCCGTCTCCTTGAATCACCCGGAAGTTTAATTAATATAAAAGCGCCGAAAACTACAAGGACGAAGACGAATTAGGTCAATAGGCCATGTGTTGTTCTACTTCAGCTTGATCCTTGTTGTTTTTTGGGCGCTTTTCTACTTTTTACGACTTTTTTGTTTCTTGCTTTTCCTAGGTTTTGTAGTCATTATGCCCCTCTTGCTTGTCTGCGGTTGGCTTTAATTTAAGTAACGTAAGGCCTTCCTTGCTCCTTAGAGGCAAATGGTGTGTGCTTGTTATACCTTGACTTAAAACGAAAGAAACACACAAGAGGACGAAACCGACGACACAGCTTTCGACCTGCAACGACAGATTTACTGGGGCGGCTAGCCGCCCAGAGCTCAACTTGGGGATGCGATGGGGAAAGGGGGAGGGGGAAGAGGGGAGATGTAAGAAACACAGGGAGACCGTTGCAGGGGCGAACACAGCGGGCGGTCGGGAGCCTGGTCTGTGCTACCTTTCTCGTGGATGACACCTCGCGTCGCTTCTTGCCGTCGGTGGCGCGGCGAAGGGGGGGGGGGGGGGGGGGCGGAGAGGGGGGTAGGCGTCTCGGAACGTTTTGGGGAAAGCGCAAGACGGACCAGAGGGTCCAGTGAGAACAGAGGGCGAGAAGAAGGAAGGACAGAGCTCTGGTTTCCCGGGTTCTTTTTGTTTGCTGTTTTTTTTTTTCAAACCTTTAAGCTCTATTGCCGTGCGGGCTGGGGGGGGGGGGGGGGGGGGGGGGGCTTTCCACCCTTTCAGGAAGCGAATCCCTCTCTCCTGGAGTAAAAGGGAAGGGCTGGAGAGGTTTGTTGTCGCCGACCTGATGCTTGCGGATTCTAATATTTCTCTGCCGAATCGAGATCGGTGTCCCCCTTTGATTTTTGTTTGAGTGATATGGGGTGTGCAAGAGGGGCAGTTTTTCGCACGGACAACAACCGGATGCACGGAATCCTCGGGCGGGCTCGTGATCTCCCTCGCGTGTTTACGGAGGTGGTCGTTGGTACATCGGCCCTTTTGACCGATGTACTCCGCTCCGCACGAAAGAGGGATCTTGCACACTTTCTCTCGCGCGCAGGGGCGGAAACACTGGGCGTGTTTTTTAGTGCAGGAGGTCGGAGGTTTCGGATTGTTGAGGTGCTTGCACATTCCACCCAATTTGAATTTGCAGGTGAAAAGAACCCTGGTGTCCAATTTGCGTGCAAGCGCACTCAAACGATGGGATGTGTTGTGCACGTAGGGAATGCATGCAGGGCGGGAGGAGAAAGATCTGGGTGGGGATTTGCGGGGGCGGCTCCCGGACTGCACAATCAACCTCTTGATGTTGTTTTCAAACTGACAAACTGACAACTTCAAACTGAAGTAGGAGTGAGGTCACGTAACGACAATTTTTCTGCTAAATCTAGCGCGGAAACTGAATTTGTGTATAGGTCAAGTGGAACGAAGTCTTGTGACCTAATTTTTTCCTCTAAATTTAGCGATGAAACTGAATTGGTGTTGAGGCAACGTGAGGGTGATTTTCCCGCAAAATCTAGCAGGCGAGAGGACCCCGTTTAGTGACCGCGGTTACACCGATGCTGCTACAATAAAGAGGAGATTCGGGCCAGTTTGTTTATTGCAAACGAAAAACAGCGCCGTAAAAACGCAGGGACACAGACGAAGGGAAACAGGACAATGCGCTCTCTCTACTGAAATTTATTGAAAATTGACAAGCTAATATAACCACGAAAAAAAAAAAACTTGTTAACCCTATCTGCTCAGCCCGCATTTCAGAAATTCAAACTTATCTGTTGATAAAGACAGGGACGTGTAACTTATACATTTCTTCTCCCGGGTCCTAATTTCAAATGCCTCATGTAATTCTCGCGACACTTTATCTTTGTATCTAGCCAACATCTTAGTGTCATTGAAGGCCGGTGTGCATGAGTATCTGTTACAATTAATTGCAACATGCCCTGAAAGCGTCGCTCTTGTAGAGTCAGCGTGCTCGCGGGTGCGATCATTCACGCACCTGCCCGTTTGGCCGACGTATGTCATACCACACGTCATGAGGATTTCGTAAACGACGCTAGTCACGCATTCGACGTACTCATTTTGGTGTTTTGTAGTGCACGGATCTGAAGACGTCTGTGGGGAATTTCTCTGGTCATCTCATTGATCGCTGAAAACACTACCGGAATATTGTAGCATGGCCACCGTCTTTAGACTGTGCGGGACATTGTGTATATATGGAATGACAGCAGTCCTCGAAGTCGGTCTATCGCCGTTTGATTTCTCATTACCTTTAATCTTTTTTATTAGACTTTCTGCCACCTCAACCAAAGATCTCAGCGGAAAACCAGCCTTCTGCAGGCGCTCTATCTGCCCATCAAAGTTGCCTCGCGCACTGTGCCAACATGACTTTCTGAGGGAAACCCCCAGGCACAAACTAGCTATGCCCCTTTCCACAACCTTCGAATGGGCGGAATCAAAAGGAAGGATGCCCTTCTTTGTTCGAGGCGTATACTTACAACACGCATGGTCCCCCGACAACGATAGCGATCAAGGTCCAAGAATTGCAGTTCACCTTTTTTCGGTAATTCACACCTAGTCCTGCTTCCCTTCGTCTGTGTCCCTGTGTTTTTGTGGGTTTTTTTTTTCAGGGGGGGGGGTATTTTATTCTCCCTCCTTCCATGGCAATCAAGAGTACGATACGTGCGGTGCTAATTTGCAAGTTTAGTACCACGTTCACGATGGGATCGCTCTATTTTATACGTATAGATGACAACAGGATCTAGTTAATTTTTACGTATAATCCTAGAAAAAACAAAATGTTGTTGACATGGTTTTTATCCCTTACAACACTCACCTGACCGGTTTCGCCTGGGGTAGTTTGACGCATCCATCAAAAATTTCAGGATCCACTCTGCAGTTCAAATACATGGCTATGTTAAAGCGAAACCCTTAGCGTAAAAGAATAATAAATCAAGTTGCAACGAAGAGCTACGAACACAAGCAAGGAGTGGATAATTGTTCCACTCCGGGTGTCTAATATAAATCAAGCTGGTAAGTGGCGTAGACTGTGTTTGGTCACCACGCTTAATACGTATTCTGGGACGAGTTTAACACCATTGAAGCCTAAGCAGCTATTTTTTATAACCATTATATATTGCGTGTAGTTATTTTCCACATGAAAAAAGGGAGCGTATACAATTCGCATATTAACAAAAATCCACCGAATAACAGTGAACAGTTTATGTCTGCGTAGGCTTTCGTAGCAATTAAATTCCCCAAATGAAGTGACAGAAACAACCTTGCCCGCCTCTGAGCTCTATCTTATATCAGCTGTACGAGGCTATTCAAGTTCTAAGGTACCCTGGTTTATTTAATAAAAAAACACGTGCAACAAAAAGTTGGAACATCGCCACTCTTCTTTTTATTCACTCTGTACCAAGGTACAGTTTTCCGGGCCACTTTTTAGAGCGCAGCTCTTAGGGGCCCGTTTCCGGCTTGAGCGGCGTCGCCGTCGGCGTCGGCGTCGGCGTCGGCGTAACCGCGCGGTGCATCATGGGAAATGTCCCATAATGCACCGCGCGAGCCCCCCACCAAGGTCACGTGACCTCGTGGGGGGTCACGTGACCCCCCGAAGTCACGTGACTCCCCTGAGGTCACGTGGCCCCCTCCTCGAGGTCACGTGGCCCCCTCCTCGAGGTCACGTGACCCCCGCCGATGTCGCGTGACCCCCCGATGACGTCATCGTCACTGATGACGTCACCGGCATCCACATCGTCATCGTCATCATCACTGATGACGTCACCGGCATCCACATCGTCATCGTCATCATCACTGATGACGTCACCGGCATCCACATCGTCATCGTCATCACTGATGACGTCACCGGCATCCGCATCGTCATCGTCATCATCACTGATGACGTCACCGGCATCCACATCGTCATCGTCATCATCACTGATGACGTCACCGGCATCCACATCGTCATCGTCATCATCACTGATGACGTCACCGGCATCCGCATCGTCATCGTCATCATCACTGATGACGTCACCGGCATCCACATCGTCATCGTCATCATCACTGATGACGTCACCGGCATCCACATCGTCATCATCACTGATGACGTCACCGGCATCCACATCGTCATCGTCATCATCACTGATGACGTCATCAGTGACGTCACTGATGTCGTCACCGGCATCCGCATCGTCATCGTCATCATCACTGATGACGTCATCAGCGACGTCACTGATGACGTCACCGACATTCGCATCGTCATCGTCATCATCACTGGTGAAGTCATCAGTGACGTCACTAATGACGTCATCGGTACCCGCATCGTCATCGTCACTGATGACGTCATCAGTGACGTCAGTGATGACATCATCGGCATTGGGGGTCACGTGACCCCCAAGGTAACGTGACCCCCCCTGGTTAGTTTAACCCCCCCCCCCCCAGTGCCCTTCCCTCCTCCTCCTCAAGAGCTGCGCTCTAATTCGGCGTTACAGGGAGTTGTAAGCGGCTTTCATTTTTTTTGTCTGGAAATTTAAAGCTCCAGAAAGCCCGAGGAAGCAAAGGTAGAGCCAACCTTGAACTCCTTTGGTGAAAATCTGAATATCTTGACAATAATTCACCATACAGGTGCCAAAGCTAGTGTTCACTGCTGGTACTTTGACTGTCATCTGGCATCTTCTGGGTTTAGATCGCCAAACAAGTGCCAGATTTAGGCTTCACTGCTTTTTCTTTGATTCATACGCGCCACGGTATGCTCAAGTCGAGGACATTGGCAATTACGTGAAAAGCCAAACAAAAGCCATAAAACGCAAAATAAATATAATCTGTAACTGAAGGAAGCGGGCTGGCCAGCTGGCTCTATACTGACATGGTAACCCGAGAGTGAAGGGAAAAGGTGAGGTTTGTGCTGTCCGTTCCGTTTTTCCCCTGCTCGAGCCATGGTTACAATCTAAGTACTCTGCCACTAATTAACGCATTAGAGCAAAACAATACTATTACCAAGTTAGATCCTTGTGATTACCAAGCTTGTGGACTTCTACCTCAGGTAGTTGTACGTATTTTTGGCTACATCCTCACGACGATTGCATGGCTGTTGAGAATTGATCTTTGAAGGTCTGTTCACATCGTTGGGATATTGCCGACGACACAGCAAAGTGCCTCGAGAACACTCAACCAGCAAGAGCTTCCTATATTTATAGAGTCAATAAAAAATGATGGGAGCAAGGCCAGGGGAGTAAAGAGCGCGAGAAGGCAGCTTAAAATTGTAGTGTGAAGAAAACATTCATATAGTTTTGCCCGATGGGCCCAAACATTGACTTCTTGAAATATCACTTTTGCGTTTATGTTTTTTCCCGAAGCTGAAAAAAACTTTTTTTTCTCTCCATGACGTCTTTGTAGAACGTAGCCTTACTGTTAAGCCCTTCACGACGCAGTGGGGAAGGATGACGCCTTCATTTTCCCAGAACATGGCCGCCACCATCTTCTCATCACTGGAGGTAGCGCGAACCTTCGGTGGCGGGGAGTCGCAGTGCTCTCATTGTAGCTTCGGGCGTTTCGTTTCGGAGTTGAAAAACGGCATCAATCTCTTGTTCATTGTGACCGGACATGTGCACGCGACGGAAATAAACTAATTAAATACCGTTACTTTTTGTCCACTTTAAAAGTAACTAAGTACGCTACTCGTTACCGCGATTCAAAAGAACGCGTTACCTAAGCTTCAAAGTAGCGCGGTGATTTCACGTTACTTTGAACGTGTCGTTGTTACGACACAATAGCCGTTTCTAATAGTGTCCTCGTTAATAGTTCTTGCTTTTCATCCCGCTCATTTATGGATACAGTGGCTATACTATATACCTTGGGAACATATTTTAATGGCCTATCTAGCGTTTTCTCGTTGTTAGATATAATGATTTATTGAATATTACAGGCGTGATCTAGGGTGACAACTAAGTTCGGTACTTGTGTTGTATACGCTCCCTTCCTGAAGTAACTAAATGCCATTATTCATTAACTTTCTTCAAAAAGTAAGGAAAATATCTTGCTCGTTCCTTGTCCTAAATATGACTTAGTCGTTACGCTGTTACCAAAAATGTATACCAGGTACAGTAAAGCGTTACTTTTGCTGTTAGGTACCAGTCTGATCTTTACCATTAATGAAATAAAACCACTGTTTCTGCCGTCACAACGCGAAAAAATCGCTTGATTCCACGCATTAGCAGAAAACAAGTAATTACACGCTCATCCCTGAAGGTAAAGGTCGCCATTTGTAGTGTCTGGAACATTGGCGTGTTTAGTTAGCGCCAGTTTCGTTCGCCTTGCATAGAGATCCTACACTGTAAACCAAAAGTTACCCAGATGTGCGTTTCAAAGGCTAAGATGGCGATTAAACTGCCTAGCCTGAGGCATTTACTCCCGCACATGGAAGTAACTGAAGGCCTGTACAAACAGGACACTTTAGAAATCGTGAGACGACACAACTCCAACATAAAGGGCTGTTTATACTCCAACGTCGACGAACGAAACGCGGGCTGGTGCAAACCGATGTTTGTCGGCCACTGCTTCACGTCAGGCCGCGCCGAGAAGTGCCCGAACGACCGTGTTTACAGTTCAGCGTAGACCATGGTCCAGCCCGCTTCGACAAACTGAGCCACTTTGCGCATGCGCGTTTCCGCTGCAACTGCATCATCTCTACACCGTATCTCCGCTTCCTGGTCGGTACCAATCATGCAATCGATCAGGGTGGCTCGTCCTCGTCCTTATACTTCAGAGCACACAAGAACAGGCACACAAAGCCATCCGGGGCAGTGGTTAGCAGTTCGAAAAAAGCAAATGATGGCAAAATAACGATTGCAAACCAGCATTTACTGTTTCTGAAATGCCACAAAAATGTCGACGGACAAACAGGAAAATCACGATATCACGTCCAACGAAGATGCTTGACGTATTTGCCGGAGTCGTGCCAAGCGACTTCGGTGATTCCGCTGGGATGCTTCGATAAAATCGACGTATTCGTTATTCCACAGCGACTTCTTTCTGAGAGATGGCCGGTGCGTTGTCATAGTAGACTTTCACGACTCAAGAAACTGCCACCGAAGAGAGCGGACGATGCCTAAATTGCGCAATGTACGCGTTCGAAATTGTAGCAGATTTTACACAGCCCATACAAACAATACAGGATTGCCCCGCATTATTTCTGTACCCTCTAAATTTTACGTGATCCTAAATTCAGCGTTCAATTAACCTTACGCTTGTACTTCATTCGGATTCGAGTTGTCTAGGCCCGAAAGTGTGGAGTGAATTCTAAAACAAAATGAAGACCAATGAAGAGGTAACTCAGGAAGACCTCATGCCCCGATTGAGGCCCTAATTAGTTTCCTTCTTCAGCATATCAGGGCATCATGATATAAATTATCTTAAGACGGAAGTCGACAACATCATACCTGACCGGTTGTTCCTGATGTCTCCGGGCGGATACGTGACAACTGGCTCGGGCACTGCACGGGTCACCATACATTGATAGTGTCAGCTAGCGATATAATTTTCAGCTTTATTGATAATAATTACAATAAAAATGACAGAAATAACTCACAGTACTTTGACAAAAAAAAAAAAGAACTGCAACGCAATATGATTGAAATTATGGACCGAGAGACTGAAAGAGAGGAAAAGGCGTGATCGAGCGGGGACTGAATAGTGGGTAGACTTAACGCTAGCTGCCTTTGTCTGCACTCCGCTCGTCGAACGCAGTCGAATGCAAGAGCCAAGAACCTGAGTCTGCGTTCCGTGTTCTAACGCGTTCGACGAGTGCAGTGGAGCCAAAGGCAGCTAGTGGTAGGTCTATACACTAATCATTCCAAGCAAAGCTCAGCGTTACGACGTGCCAGCGCTTTCTCGTGTTGTCCTCTCTCTTACGTTCTCGCCGCATTCTTCTGAAACTCATCACTACTTCGAAATTTTGTGATACAGCTTTTTCAGGGTGTAATTAAAGTTTTAGTAGGCTGAGTTTTTGAAAGCTAAATGTACAAATTCCCATACCCCCTGTAGTCATATCCTGCATCATGGAGGTTTCAGTTAGGAATCCTTCAATCGGGCGTGCTTTAGCCGAGTTCTAATTTAAAGGGCAACTCCGGCCAAAACTCAAAATGAAATAAATTACTGGTATCGTCTCAACAAATGCCGATAATAAAAATGCGACCCGCCGCGAGCCGCTGCTCCTTAGCGGGCGGCCAGCGAGTTGCCGATCGCTAAAGCAACGTTGGGCCGTGACGTCAGGATCGTTCTCTTTTTTTTTTCCTCCGGTCCGGACGGGCGCACCCGTTGCGCGGTCGAGCAGTGTAAAGTGCGCTTCTTTGAGCCGCTACCCACCACTACTTCGGCTTGTGATTGGCATGTTTAGCCGTTGATTGTACCTGTAGGCCGCGTAGCTTCGGTATAGCCTTTTCTTTATTTGCTTGTGAGGACTCCAAGACTCATTTTAGTGAGCAACTCGGTGCACCCAAGACTGCTCAGTTGTTCCTCGAAAGATGCCAAGTACAATATTTAACAATGCCAGAAAAAAAAAAAAAACACTTGCCCCAGTCAAAAGTAAAGGAGGAAATATTTAAAATCCTATGTATTCCAATTAAAAAAAAAATGTGGGTGGGGTCGGAACGTGGAAGGGAAAGAAAGTCTTATTTTCACCTTACTAACGTTTTTTGTTTTCCTCTATAACCCACAAAAACTTCTGCTAGCTTTGAAAAGAAAATGTCTGCCTACAGAACTTTTTTTTTCTGAGTGCGGCAAGTTTTTTTTATATATTTTTACAAATAAGATTCACCACCCAAACGAACTTATGGGGTAAATTAGTGTCGTAGCTAACATATTTTGCTTTTACGCCCCTAAGGAAAAACAACGAAAAAAATGAAAGCCGTTTACAACTCCCTGGAACACCGAATTGGAGCGCAGCTCTTGAGGAGGAGGAGGGAAGGGTACTGAGGGTCACGTGTTCTCGGGGCGGGGGGGGTGTCGCGTGACCTCGGGGGGGGGGGGGGGGGGGTTACGTGACCCCCCAGAAAAATTTTTCCGCTAGGTTTAGCGGGGAATTTTTTCCGCTATATCTAGCGGGGAAATTTTTCAGGTAGATTTAGCGCGGAATTTTTCCGCTAGATTTGGTGGGGAATTTTTTCCGCTAGATTTAGGGGGGAAATTTTTCCGCTAGATTTAGCGGGGAAATTTTTCCGCTAGATTTAGCGGGGAAATTTTACCGCTAGATTTAGCGGGGAATTTTGCCCGCTAGATTTAGCGGGAAAATGTTTCCGCTACATCTAGCGGTAAATGTTTTCCGCTAGATTTAGCGGAGAAATTTTTCCGCTAGATTTAGCTGGGAATTTTTTCCGCTAAATCTAGCGGGGAAATTTTTCCGCTAGATTTAGCGGGGAAAATTTTCCGCAAGATTTAGCGGGAAAATTTTTCAGCTAGATTTAGCGGGAAAAAGTTTCCGCTAGATTTAGCGGGGAATTTTTCCGCTAAATCTAGCGGGAAAAATTTTCCGCTAGATTTAGCGGGGAAATTTTTCCACTAGATTTAGCGGGGTTTTTCCGCTAAATCTAGCGGGGAAATTTTTCCGCTAGCTATAGCGGGGAAATTTTTCCGCTAGCTTTAGCGGGGAAATTTTTCCGCTAGATTTAGCGGGGAAATTTTTCCGCTAGCTTTAGCGGAGAATTTTTTCCGCTAAATCTAGCGGGGAAAATTTCACGCTAGATTTAGCGGGGAAATTTTTTCGCTAGATTTAGCGGGGAAATTTTTCCGCTAGATTTAGCGGGGAATATTTTTCGCTATATTTAGTGGGGAAGTTTTTTCGCTAGATGTAGCGGAGATATTTTTCCGCTAGATTTAGCGGGGAAATTTACCCACAATGCACCGCGCGGTTACGCCGACGCCGACGGCGACGCCGACGCCGACGCCGACGCCGCTCAAGCTGGAAACGGGCCCCTAAGAGCTGCGCTCTAAAACAGACGTGTAGAGCCCAGCACACGTGTGTTAGGACGCCGCGGTCCGCGCCGGAGAGCCTCAAAGCTTCGTGTCCGGAGCGCGAAAGCGAGAGGGCCTCCAGTACTGCACGTCACTGGCAACGCGGGGTAGAGCAACGCCGCTCCATCCACGGAGCCCCGATTACAGCTGCCGAGTACGGTACCGAAAGAGTTCACGGGTTTTTCAGTCGCTAGCTTTTGGGTATACGCACTAACTCTTGCTACATATGCTGGATAACTACCACGTGTACAGAATTAAAACAAAATCAGCTTTCCTTCTATCTTTAGGCGGCGAGCGCAACAGAGGCAGGTGCCGCTCGGCCTGCATACTCGTTGAACGAGAACGATCCTGACGTCACGTCCACATAGCGGCTGATTTCCAGTGTTGCCGGGGCCTCGAGCGGCTAGTTTCAGTTTTGTCGGCAACGCCCCAAACAAAACTTTGAGGCGTCGATATTTTTAAAACTACGCACAATAACGAGAAAGAAATTACACCTTGCAATTTAGGGACGCTGACTGCGCTAAAAACAGCCATAATCCCAAAATCAAAAGTATGGACCGGAGTTGCCCTTTAAATACAATTCACGTTAATCTCGTGTTTTTCTGCGCTACAGGGGCTCAATGATCATACGATTAAAGCCGTCGTAGGTTGATTAAAAAAGGATGTTCACGGTGTGGGACTTTCATTCGAACATATCTTTTTTAATAAGATTGGGGATTAGGGGAGTGCCATCTTCAACCTGTCTTTATCAAACTCGGCGTACACTAGATGAAGGGCTAAACGTCTTGGCAAGTTGGCTATGTTACGCTTGGCTCGGCAGAGCGGACACGTTCACACACGTCTCAGTGAGCTTGCAACACTCCCTTATTCTCCCCGCGCCATTTTCCTCTGCCCCCCCGTCTCCCGCTGCCTCCCGCGACCCCGGGAGTTTGTACAAGCGCTGTCCTATAGGAATTTCCTCCTAGGGAAGGAGTGTCCCCCCACGGTTCCGGTTGTCGCCGGCGCCACACACTACTTAGAACTAGTTAAATAAAAGTCGATAATTAACTATTTCATTACTTGGTTTAGGGGTTATGTTACAATGGCACTATTGACGGCAATTACTTTTAGAGGCCAGACCAATTCAAATAATTTGTCAAAATGTATTAGATTTCTAGATAATAATTGATAAATGTTCACGTTTGTAACCCGATTTCAAAATTAGGCGGAGAAAGCACGCCGCAAACCCTGCCCATAATGACACTTGCAACAGTGATGTAGTCGTCTCAATGGTGTCAATAGGGAATTTTAGCGAGTCGTTTTTCAAGCACACTGTTCCGCACTCACGAACGATGCAGCTGGTCCGTTCCGTGAAACCGTACGTGAAATTTGATATTTGAAACTGGCGCAACCGTGTGAACGATGATGATGATTGTATTTGACCGGTGGCGCCATCTTCTAGTAAACATGTGAAACATTCTGCAACGTGAAAGTTCGTGGCGGCTCGTGTTTCCGGCATACGACTGATGTAAACAAGACGGTCGATGTAACATTTGTCACTCAGAATTTAAAGAAAGGCGAATCTAGATAGGGTAAAATGTATCTAAACAATCGTAAAGTCATGTGGTGTGTCTTTGTCATTTTGAACTTTAATGATCATTCACGTTGTGTGCCGTCGAACCAAATAATTTTGTCTGCTCGCGGTCGCCACAACAGCTACTCTGCTCGCAGATCACAAACATTTACTAGCATGCGGAGTTTATAGCATTTACGATCGCTTACCATTGTGAGCGGTCCTCGAAATGAATTGGTTCAACCTCTCAAAAGAAGCAAACTAACAGGATGGCAAATCGCCTCCCGCATTTGTAAGCCTAACGCTCGGCTGGGTCGGCGAAGTCAGTCGCCACACCGACCGCCATCTTTTTTTAACCGAGTCGTGAAAGGTGCTGGCTGCGTTGCGGTGACGACTCCAGCGGCCGGAATGGAAGAAACAAACAAGAGCCTCCCGACACCCCGAACGAATCCTGCGCGCAAGCCCAGTGGCGTCGCCGATGCGTTCGTTCGTGTGGAAACGACCTGCTAAAACTCCCTAATATCTCGCACAGCGTGGCCGTGGTGGGTACACAAACTACACAAGTTACGATTTGACTAAATCGACTACATCACTCTTCTAAGCTTCACTGTGGGCAAGGCTTGCGGCGCGCTACTTGCGCACCATTTTTAAACTCAGTAAAAAAAGGTGGACGCTCACCAATTAATATCTGGAAAAACATTACGTATTTGCAAGTTATCATAGTCGGTTTGGCGTCTAATTGTAATTGCCGCCAATACTGCAGTTAAAATCTTACCCCTAATTCACAAATGTTTGTTTATTAGTTAACTTACCATGACAATTATTCACTCTTTTAATGTCCGCCGAGTCTGATAAAGTCTTGGTGAAGACAACAATTGCCTAACTCTCGCCCTCTTTTTTTTCAACCTGCTGCATTTAAAATCAAACACCCTTTATAATATGACTACCCGACAGGTCGGTTTTTGATGCAATTGCCTATGTAAGTTGTTACCAAATGTATTGATAACAAATTATGCGGCAAAACTTCAGACTTTGAAGCTCTGAAGCTTTTGAGCATTTCCACAGATAAGTCCTTCAGATCTTCACTCTTCACCATTTCACGCTTCTAGTCCATCCGCCATTTCGATATTTAATTGTACACAATCGTACACATTTACTTTCGCAAATTGAATTTGTGGTCAACATTTTGTGAACCTTCATGCTATCTAAATCAGTCAGGAAACTGAGCCATCGGAGCGAGGAAACTGCGCCACTTAAAATGCTATCTCACCTGCGAAGCCTTGCCAGAGCACCAGGACACCCACGACAATTGCCAAAAGCATTCCTCAAGTGAAGCTGGGAATATTTAGCTGCAATATTGACACGGAAAATAAGTTAGGTCGGCATTCATGAATAATATGGAATGTCTCCAATAAAATATAGGTCTCTAAAACAAGCCAAAAAAGTGACGCCTGCACATAGTATGCTATACGTTTTAACGAATCTGCACTGGCGTAATGGATTTCACTTGGGAAAATTATAAGACCTGCCTAGCTTTCTGTGAAAAAATGAGACCAATTAACTTGCCGGGGTTAACGGCGGACGACAGATTGCGTCATCTGCTCGCTCTGCACATCGGGAGATTGCGAAACAAGTTACAACCATTGCTAACTCGGGCGTCTTCGACTGCGTCCGCCGTTTATTGTTTGTTTGTTTCAAAGTGCAGAGAAAAGGAATTACGTCTTAAAATTTCATCAGGTAAAAGGCTATATATAAATGAACATTCGGTGAACCTTTGAGCTTTAGATATGCAGGTGCCTATTTTCGCGGCTCGCTTTACGGCAGTAGGATCTATTCTTGGACACTAACTGTTGGGGACTCTTGCAAAAAAAAAAAAAAAACACCTAGCAGTTAGAATAGAAAGCTGTGGCAATAGGTTCACACACCAGCCTTCTTTAGTGAATCAGATATTCACATCAACTGGCCGTCTAAAGTCAAAGCTGTGAAAGTAGGTTCGAAAACACTCGGCGAAAATTGCCGATAACTAAATAAAAACAAAAGTCGCAAAACATCGCCCACCACTCCTGCAAATATAACGAGACCCCCTAATAGCTATATTTCCAGTAACAATGGTTACACGGCAAGTATATTTGTGAAACACACTTTAAGTGTTGGCCCTTGAACAAGCTTTTACATCATTAAGTGTATAAAACGTATGGTGTGAACTTCGACCAGACAAGTACTGTCGAACTTTTGCGCCGATAAACACAATCCCATCTGAATAAACCGAATCGAATATCAGAGAAAGGCAGCCGAGCTGTAGTGAATCTGAGTTTGTCAAGCAATAACTGAAAAGATAAGGAAGAGGTGGGGATCTTTTAACAACTTGATACCCGAGACGGATATAGAAAAAAAAAAAAAAAAGGGAGGAAAGGACACCGGAATGCGTGCGTATGGTCCCCCGTTTTGTTCCTCAGTTTTGGGCTTCCAAAATATTGAGTCAGCCAGTTTATTGAATTTGAGCCACTCACCTTTTTATTTAGGTGAAGAGCCTCGACTGAACCAGGCTGAACAGAATTGGACCTGCTATTGAGGTGCAAGGATGAAGAACCACACACCTGGTGACAAAAAAGGCTGCTTGTAAGGTGATCGTTAAATCTTTTTCGAGACCAGGCTGGTCTACGAACTTGTGACTGTAAAGTTTGTTCTTGTACTTCTGACCCTCGTGGAAACTGCAGCTCTGACTAAGAAAGGATGGCGTTATATCTGCTACTGAAAGCGGCTCGATTTACGTCGTCATACATGTTTTGACTTAGGTTTTGTTCAGCTTTTTTTTTTTTTTCTCAAAAATAATGGTGCCCTTTTTTGTCTGACGCACATGCTTTGACGCTCCCACCCCGTTGTTCTGCCCGGCGTTTAGGGTTGTTACTATGATTTGAAGCGAACTTGTGCTTGCGGTGCTGCACGATTTTTGTTTCGTTGGTGAAAATAAAATGTGCTGAAGGCTTTCGGTATGCATCATAGATTTTAAGAGCAACACTCTAAGATTAGGTTATTTTAACCTGGAACTTTCTTTGGCTAGGTGTTCGGCATTATGTGGAGCCCAGATAAAAGCGCGTCCAGGAGGCATTGGCTCTGAGGAGGGAAGGGGGGGGGGGGGGGGGGCTACCGCAATACAAAAGCGTTCGCGCCAGGCAGAAATCAAATCGAGGCAATATATATTATTCAGCGAATGTCATACATCCCAGCGAGTTGAGGTGCTATTGAGGGAGAAAATCCCGCTGGGCATCCGGAGCTCTGCGTCTGGCAGATAGCAACTTGACACCTTCCAGGGATCAGTGATCAGGACATAGCCACTGTAAGCATAAGCTGCAAGCTAGCAATGCCGGTAAGGCCGTGCACACGGAAAGTTTACTTTTATGGCCAGGGTAATGACACTGGCCTTTCCGAAGAACAAGTGCTGTTTTTTCTTTCGGTATTGAAATGCGCAGTTACGGGATGAACATCTGTAAAAACTTCTTAAGTTCAGGCTTAATAATTTATTTGATTTACGTGTTCGTAATAAAGTAATTACACCATGAAAACTAAATCTCAAGCTTTGAATAAATGGGAACATACTGCGGTTATTAAGAAAGAAGCAACGTGCTTACTTATCGTACCGCAGAATGTCACTTGCAAGGTTGTGTGACTTTGGGAAACATCTTAAGGGAAACTAAGAAGGCTTATCATCGTGACTTGAGTGATCCCCTTAAGAGAAACCCTAAATTATTTTGGAAGTTTGTTAAAAACAATAAAAATTACCAAGTAGGTATTGCGCCAATCGATGTATCCGACCAGGCTCTCTACGATGACCAGGCAAAATTAACGCGTTTCAGCAACTACTTCGAGGCAGACTTTACTCTTCCTGTTTCTTGTGACTGTCCAGTTTTGACCTCTGACGACACTCTGACAAACAGCATGAAACAGCTCGTGTTTAACTCGGATGACCTGATTAAACTTCTTTAATCGCTAATTCCTGACAAGTCAACCTGCCCAGATACATTGTAAACAGTGTCCTCAAAGTGAGTTCAGGTTTGCTTTCAATGTATCTGTATGTCTTGTTCACTAAATCGCTCATAGACTGGTGTTAGCTTCGGATTGGACGATGGCTTCTATAGTGCCTTTTCATAAAAGCGGTCCCCTAAACAAAGTAGACAATTACAGGCCCATTTCACTTTAAGCACGACTTCTCAATTCATGGACCATATTATTTACACTAACATTGTGCAACACTTACATTCGAACCATTTCTTCGGTCCGTTTCAACATGAGTTCCGCCCAGGCTTGTCTTGCACAACTCAGTTGGTAGAGTTTTATTATGACCTAGCGAACACATGCGACAAAGGCTGGGACTGTACTTTTTTTTTTATTTCCGGAAAATGTTCTACCTTGTTTCTCACAAATTTGTTTTTCACAAAAAAAAGGCCCTCAAAATGTCGGATGATGTTCTCGGAAGGTTCTTCCTCCTTCCTCCTCCTCCGGAAAATGTTCTACCTTGTTTCTCACAAATTTGTTTTTCACAAAAAAAAGGCCCTCAAAATGTCGGATGATGTTCTCGGAAGGTTAGCTGACTATTTATGTGGTTGGACTCAAGCAGTGATCATTAACGATGAATCATCTAATTTTATCCCGGTAACTTCTAGTGTGCCCCAAGGCTCTGTGGTAATACAATTCTTATTTTTTATATTTATTAGTGATATTGTTCAAAACATTTCCTTCTCTATCGTCTTTATACAAAATACTGCGTTATTTATCGTGCAGTCAGTGCTATTGATGATTGTATCGCTTTCCAGGGGGACATCGATAGTATAACAACCAAGTGCTCCACATGGGTGATGGATGTGGACATCAGGAAATGCCACTTTGACAGATTTACTAGAAAAAGAAATCCTCTCATCAGCATGTACCACATCAAGAACGTCAGTATCCGACTGTCACGACAAGTAAAATATTTAGGTGTCTATTTTCACATAATCTTTCCTGGAACCACCATAGTGATTACATGACCACTAAGGCTAACCAGATGCTGCTATGATTCATCAAACGCATTATAAGAGACTGTCCACGTGAAGTTAAAAAATACCTTGTACCGTACAAACATCAGGCCAATCCTTGAATTCGCTTCTTAAACTTGTTACTCCTACCAGCAGTATCTAGATCATAATATTGAACGAATTCAGAACCGATCTGCCAGGTTCGTCCTGAATTCTTATAGTTGTCGTCAAAGTGTGACCGGTCTAAAAACATGAGCTTAGGTGGCAGCCTCTCCGATTTCGACGAGTCTAAAACTACTACAAGCCATTTATCATGAAATATCTGGCATTAATAAAGATACATTCTTCCACCACACTTCAGTTTTCGTAGACGTGGCCACTCAAAGATTAAACCTCTGTAATCGAAAATTGACATCTTCAATTATTCGTGTTTTTTTTTTTCATACACTATTTAGAGATTGAATAAATTACCAGAGTAACTTTTTCGGTACAAGAAAACTCATTTTTTTATTTCCTTGTTCAGTGTTTAATACATGTTGTATATTCTATTCCTAGTTTATTGGTTTTCTACCTTATAATCATCATCTGGACTCTCCCTCTCAGCGTTCTTTTTGTGAACTGGTCACTTAAGGCAGCGCCTGCCTTTCCTATGCACCTAGGTGTCAAGTAACTTTTGTCCCACACCCACTATAATGCACACACGGGCGGGTATTGAAAATAAATAAATAAATAAATTGTCACATGTTTTAATGCGAAACGTTCTCTGAATGTGTGTTTGGCATTTCGTGAAGCCCAGATAAGAGCATGGCCGCGAGGCCACGCTTTAATTGGGTTTCACGAAGTTTGATTGGTTGATGAGTGGGAGAGGAGGAGTGAGGTACTCGACGTTGATTGGTTAACGGAGATGTCATATGACCAGAAGGGTACTTGAGGAGGAGCTCGACCTCTGTGCGCACCGAGGGAGAGGAGCCCGGGAGCAGGAAGGCTGGAGGATCGCTAGGTTTATCAGCCCGATTAGCGGTAGTATCGCTTCATTCTGGGAACAACTATCGAGTCTACTCATGGTACGCGTTTACTATCTAATCAAGAACGTCGTGAAGGTAGGTGTTTTTCCCGTCTGAAAACTCAGCATATCCCTAAACGTTTGGGATGCTAAAACGTTCACGCTTGAAACGCAATTGCATAATAATAAGCCATAAATATTTTTATACTGATTATTTCAGAAAATTAACTGGGAGAAGTACTTTTCTCCCTCTTCAACTTCTGAAGTAGTGCGTTTAAACCACTCGCTTCTCGTTTCCCTTTGTGCT